CATTGCCTTTGATGTAAGGGTGTGTGCTAGATATCAAGTTGATCCTAAAGTTATCCATACCAACCATGTGAAGAGAATTCCTAAATATGTGAATGGGACAAGTGAGTATGGTATAATATATTCTCATGGATCTAGCTCTGCTTTAAGTGGTTATTGTGATGTTGGTTGGGCAGGAAGTGTTGATGATAGAAAAAGTACATCAAGAGGATGTTTCTTTTTGAGAAATAATATCATATCTTGGTTCAGTAAGAAGCAAAATTGTGTGTCTCTGTCCACTGCTGAGGCTGAGTATATTGCTGCAGGAAGCAGTTGTTCTCAGTTGGTTTGGATGAAACAAATGTTGATAGAATATAATGTCAAACAGGATGTCATGACATTATTTTGTGAAAATCTAAGTTCCATAAATATATAAAAAATTCTTATTCGACACATCAGGATCAAACACATTGATATCTGTTATCACTTCATAAGAGAGCTTGTTGAAGAAAAGATTGTTGCCTTAGAACATGTAGCTACTGAAGTACAACTGGATGGCATTTTCACTAAGGCTTTAGATGCAAACCAGTTTGAGAACTTAAGAGGAAAAATAAGGATATGCATATATGAGGGTTTGTAGCAATTAAGGGCGTGTGGGAATATCATTAAAATGATATTATATCATTTATTATGTTTCCAACAAATTAAGTATCTTACGAAATCATTTCAAGATTCTCTCAAATACTCTCTCACACGTTACGCCATTACTTCTTTCTATTTTCACAACCTCTTCGCTTTCCTTTACAGAAAAAGAACCCTTGTTATTTTCCATCTCACTGTTCAAAAATATTCAAAGATGTCGCAACATCATGCTTCGTCTCCCTCAAAGTGCTCTTCTGATGAAGCCAATGCTTCTATGTCAAAGTTTGTCAACCATCCTGGGGATCTCTCCCTTGATAAACTCCTAGTCTTCGCTCCTCTGACAACTATTACACCTCCTGAGAATAAGTTCAAGAAACCCAGATCGTCCCATGCAAAGAAATCCAAAGACGAGTTTGACACTTCTAAAGGTAATGCTCATAACACTACTGATGATAGGTCAGAAGAAGACAATGTTAATGTTGATAGAAGTATTAAAAGGCTGGTAGATAGGGTGTTAAATGAGGGTTTTGTTGTGCCTGGGATTTCTAATCCTCTTGCCCGAATGCCTGCTCAAGATGACAAAGGTATTGATCCTCAAAATGATGTTGAATCATCTATCTTAAAGAAAGATGTTGCTGAAAGTGAGTGTGGCAAGTTTGCTACATCTGTTCTAGAAGAAGTGGAAGCTGATGTTGAACAAGATGTTGAGATATCGGTTGCTGAGAAGGACTCTTCTGCTAAGGAAGATGTTGCTGGCTCCAAAACTGTAAAGAATCCAAATGCTGAAAATGTGGTGAATGTTGATGAGCTGTCTGACAATGACCTTATTTCCAATGTGCTGCTTGGAATTTCTAAAAGGCTCCAGTCTAGAAAAGTGAAGGTTGTATATGTTACATCCCCTGCCAAGACTATCAAGAAGAAGACTATGTATGGTCCCCCAAAGCCTTGGAGTAAAGTGGTTCCTCCCTCTAACAAAAGAAAAGTTAGACTTGATAGCTCCTTATATGACGATGAAGATGATGTCCAGGATATCTCTCCTATGAAGAAGTCTACAAGCAAGAAGCTTTCTGTCAGCGTGTCTGATGCTCCTCTTGACAACATTTCCTTCCATTCTGTTGGCAATGCTGAAAAATGGAAATATGTCTTCCAAAGAAGGACTGCTCTTGAAAGAGATTTGGGAGCTGGTGCACTGGAGTGCAAAGAGATTATGGAGCTGGTTTCCTTTGCTGGCTTGATGAAGACTGTCACCATGTTTGCAAAATGTTATAAGACCCTTGTTAAGGAATTTATTGTTAATATTCCTATAGATTATGCTGATCACAGAAGTAAGGAATATAGGAAGGTGTTTGTTAGAGGTAGATGTGTTGAATTTTCCCCTGCTGTCATCAATAGATATCTGGGCAGGTCTGAAGATGATTACTGTGAGTTGGAAGTGATTGATAATCAAATGTGTAAAGCCATCAGTGCAAACCAAGTGAGTGATTGGCCCATGAAGAATAAGCTCCATGTTAGTAAGTTAAGTGTGAAATATGCTATCATGCATAGAATTGGAGCTGCTAATTGGGTCCTTACCAGTCATACCTCAACCATTACAGTTGGTTTAGGAAAATTTATCTATTTCCTTTCCATCTCTTATTTGTGGAATTATTCTAAATCAACATCCTAGAATTATGTGTGGCATTGATGTAGTTTGCAAAAGAGAGTTTTCCGTGTCCCTTCACTTCAAGTTGTTTTCAGATAAACATGTCCCAGACATTGTTTTGACATCTGTATCCTCTGAAAACAAGACCTCAAGCAAGGATGATATGATTATTGATTTAATGGAAGCATGCAAAGAACTTGATGAGGTAATCAGAGTTAGCTCAGCAAGAAAGCTAAAATTTGAAAAGTTGATCAAGGAGCTGCAGAAGATAACAGTCTTGATGATAGAGTGGGTACTGAAGGAGGAGATTCTGATAATGAAGGAAGTTCTGAAGCTGCCAATTCTACTGGTCCTGAAGACAATTAAACTCTTTGATGGTGCCTTATTTTTGTTTTTATTTTGTGTTTTGACCCCTATGTTATTTTTGGCACTTGTATGTGCTTGACACTTGGATATTCTGGTATGTACTTCTTTTTCTACTACTCTATTGAATGCGTGTTAATTTGGCATATTATGTCTAAAAAGGGGGAGAGAAACTGACTGACCGACTGGTAAGTTTGAGGGGGAGCTTCATGTCTCAGAAGATGTTCTGACATCTTCCATTGCTAACTGCTAACTCAGGTTCTTTTATTTGTGTTTTTGCTCTAATAATGTGCACAAATAATGTTTTAGCCAAAATTTCTCAAAGGGGGAGTTTGTAAGTGTTTGTTGGCAGCAACTTTGGTAAAACACTACTTTGGTAATTTTTTGCTTAATGTCTTGACATTTGAAGTAAATGATCTCAACTAATTTTGAATGATGTCAAAGTAGATGTCTTAATATCTGCCTTCTGATCTGGACGTGTTTTCATATTTTCTGTTTCCTGTTTTTAAGCGCTCCTTATTCTGGTTTTGTGGTTTATATCTTGCAAAAAATATGGAGGAATATTTTTCGATCTGTGTTATCTTTATGGATTATATCTTGGCCAACTTTCATGGGGATATTCAAGGGATTCAATATATTTCAATATTTGTTTTTCAGCCCAAGCCAATAAAAAAAGTTGATGCACCTTTATAAGGTGAATACGGACTCCGCTAGAGAATACGACTTCTTGTGCACAAGGCAGAGAACAAATATTATGGAGATTCATGAATGAAAGATAATCAGGTGTTGTAAAACATCTGTTGGGGTGTAAATGATTAATGTCAGTACGATTACTGGAATAAGGTCGACTCGGGGGCCAAAAGACAAACATCTATAACTCAGGGGTTGGAACCTACAACTCAGGGGTCAGAAAATAAACATCCATAACTCAAGGTTAGAAACTACGACTCAAGGGGTCAGAAAACAAACATCCACAATTCAGGGGTTGGAAACTACGACTCAGGAGTCGGAAAACAAGCATCCACAACTCAAGGGTTGGAAACTATGACTCAGGGGTCGGAAAATAAGCATCCACAACTCAGAGGTTGGAAATCACGTCTCAGAAGTAACCAGACAAACAATCAATAGAGATGTGATCAACCAAACATAAAAACAAAATCAAACCAAACCTAATCAAACTAGACGAAACCAAAAAAAAAAAAAAATATATATATATATATATATATATATATATATATATATATATATATATATATATATATAGAGAGAGAGAGAGAGAGAGAGAGAGAGAGAGAGGATATGCATGACCAAAACGACAACTAATAATTAGTGAATCAGCTGAAGCCTTATATAATTAAATTTTGATCTTCATGCACATAAAGGTGGGAGACGAGATGTCGAGAATAATTTAGTGATTCAACAAAACTATTTTTTCTTCAATAAAATTTATCATTAAAAAAATTAAAACAAACACATCCAAAAATTTTGTTTTGGGAACTCAAAGAAAAAGCAAAGGATAACTCAAAGAGGATCGAAACAAAATCTAAATACCAAATTAACAATAGAATAATAAAACATTAGAATTTCAATAATATAAAGAACACAACTTGTGCAAATATAAATTACAAAAAATATATATTCAAACATAAATATTCTAAATTACTCATAACACAACTATAAAAAAACTCATTTTATATATATATATATATATATATATATATATATATATATATATATATATATATATATATATATATATATATATATAATTTCTTTATTTTAGCCCGAGCTAGTGCATACAAGTAGAAGAAAGATGGCACAAAAAAAACGTGGCCACTTTAAAGTTTCAATAATGTACTTAATTATGGCATGGTATGGTCGATATGATGTAGACTCTTGCCTTTGCCAATTATTATATCACCATCTTTTGTTCTCATGTTTCGTTACCAACAAAAGAATAAAGATAAACAATAAGCTATAGACTTGAAACATCTCACTCTTAAAAAACAACTTAAAATTACCAAGAGAAATTAGAACAAAAAATATGAAATATTTTCACAAGTTTTCTAAAGCTAAACTTAATAATAAATTTAGAGTAATTATACACTTTCTCCTTTAAATTATTTCTTCCAATTTAAATTTTCTAATAGTATCAATAACGGTTCCAAAGCCGATATATTCTAAGATTGTATGAGTTGTTATTTAAAATTGAAGTTAAAGATAGACAAATGATATTGAAGAGATTTGGATTCTATATGACAATTGTATTGTGCACTGCACCATAGAATCATTCATAGAGAATCCATAGAGTGGAGAGAGACATAGTTGTTTATTTAAGTGATGAATGTTTTGTTACTCTAAGAAACATTCATGTGAATCAAAAGTTCCAACTCCAAAGGAAGGAATGGTTTGAAAAAGAATCTTCACATTCAATTTGGTCCACACTATCCTCCTCAAAAAGTTGATTAGAATATTGTATATCACTCGAGTATTGCATCTTTTCCAGTCCATAATAACCAAAATGAGAGCCATTAGCAACTCCATTCATGTCATCCAACATATCCTCAAATGTCCAATCCATCCTCCTCAAATCACCCTCATTATCATAAAGAGGACATGAGTAAGAATTAGAATTTGCATTATTTTGTGACTCTAACAATGGTACTTGTTGATCTCCTTCTTCTTCTTCATGAGTAGTACTCAACTCAATTGGTGGTGTGTACTCATTGGCAAACCTAGCTGCAATCTCTTGAATCTCTTGTGGTGAAAGAGAGTTAACATGAGGAACACCATGATGATGAACAGCTACATTGATGGTAAGAGGTGTATTAGGGAAATTGAAACTAGCTTGAGGACCACGTAGACAATAAAGGGCTGCATCAAATGCTCTTGCAGCTTTCTCTTGTGTGTCATATGATCCTAACCATATTCTCTCACGGCTATTTGGAAGCCTAATTTCAGATACCCATTTTCCCCATTTTCTCTTCCTCACACCTTTGTACAACTTGTTATTATTAGTACTAGTAGGGGTATTGTTGGAGCAAGATGTGTTGTGATCATTGGTAACATCGATGATATTAGTAGAATTAGAACCAGCCATGTGTGTGTTCATATATGGTTGGTTTATGATGAGTGGATATATGTTTAAGTTGCTTTTATATATAAGTTTTGTGATCATTCCCATGGAATTGACAGGTTCACTTAAATGGGTTAACATTAATAAAATGAAATACAGATAGAAACAAAAGTTAATAATAACTTTATCATGTGTCTATATTTCTCATAAATTAATTTCTTTATATTAACAGAAATTAGGTCTAACAGAAAATACTAGCTAGACTTTCACAATATAAGAGATAATATGAGAGAGATATTCATATATTTAATATTTTACAAGTTTTGAATAACATTTTACAAAAATGGTTTATATCACTTTTAAATATTTTTAAATCATATTTATTTTGATGAAACTATTAGATTTAATGTTTTATATATATATATATATATATATATATATATATATATATATATATATATATATATATATATATATATATATATATATATATATATATATATATATATATATATATATATATATATATATATATATATATATATATATATATATATATATATAATGGATAATCTGATAGCAAAAATAGATAAAAAGTGATTTAACCGACTTTAAAATTTGTATATTTAGTTTAATCCAATCTTACAAATAAATTTATAAAATTATAATTTTTTATCCTTATAAACATATATTTAGAATTTTTTTTGCAATAACCAGGTATTAAAAAAAACACAAATAATCATGTTTCGGAGAAAATTACACAAATAATCATGTTTCAGAAAACCTCAAAAAGGAGGAGTCAACCCAATTGGCGCATGCACCTAAAACTAAAGGGGAGGCGCCATCTCACTTGGCGCCTAAGTGTTAAATGGTTGCCCTAAGTCATCTGAGATGACGCCTAAGTGCAATAGATGTCCAATTTTTTTTGTTTTTTATTTTAAATGCGAGACATTAGGTAAACGATACAGCTTCACGAAAATTCGACTTTCATTTACAAAAAACGATTACACAATAAAAAAAACATACAAAATAATTAGTGGTCCCCCAGAACTCGGTAACGACCAGTGGTTCCGCATCCGCGTCCTCGCTTGTCTCATGGTGGGTTTCGTCACATTTCATGTTGTGGCATGGTCGATGGCCCAGCGAAGTCAATGTGTTTTGGATCCATGAAATCGATCAGATCACCATATCTGGAAGATCCGCTTTGGTGCAGTCGGTTACCCATGCCCTCAAAATTTGGTCTTCTTGGTGGTGGGTGGGGTTTCATGGATGGTCTATATCACTGGTCGTCTGAGTAAGGGGGTAGAAAGGAAATGGATCTTGGGGTGTTTGGTATTGCGACGGTTGGGTGCTATAGTGATGTGGTGGTTGATGGTAAGTTGGGTCGGTTGGGTCATATTCTTCGGAAAATCCCAAATCAGGGCTAAGGTTAAATGTTGAGGGGCCCACATTGGAATATGGAGAAGACTGGAATTGTGTGTGGGGCATGCGATGTATTGGTATTGTGATTGAGATTGTGCTTGGGTGTGGGGCATATGGGGGTATTGATATTGAGGTGGTGATTGTGGTTGGGTGTGGGGCATAGGAGTGTATTCGTATTGTGGTGGTGATTATGGTTGGGTGGTTGTGGACCTATATCATCGGGGTGGTTGGTGGGAGATTGATGTGTGTTGGGTTTGTTGTTGGGGATTTAAGGGTTGTGCCCATTGTGTTCGTGGGTCAATTAAATACCTCGGATGAGACACGTGCATTTTTGGGTTACTAACCGGTCTGTACCAAGCTAAATATTAATTTGTGTGTCACATATTACTCTGGTTGAGGAAAACAGGGAATTGCAAGACATGTTGGTGATGCCTATGCCACATCTTACACCATTCTGGAGAAAAATGTTTCCAATTAGTAAGACCCCATTGGGCGCCGACCCTTTTGAGATTCCAGGGGGACAAAAAAGTTGGATCGCATGGTACCTCTTTATGCATTCCGAACTGCATCTTGACACGGTCGCTGTGGTGCATCTCCATATTGTTGAACCATATGATTACACTCTTTGCGGTCTAAACGGTTGCATCCTTGGGGTTTGGTTCATGGTCCAAACCCAAATATGGTCTCCAGATAAACTGCGGATAAAATTAAATCAGCATAATGAAAATGTAATAAATAAATAATTTAAAAGTAGAAAAGTTCAAAGGTACGACATACATCATCCGGACCAAGGTGATCCAATAGATTACGTTATAGAGCGACATTGAATCTTGGATTCTTTCCGTAATCCATACCCGTCACGCAGTACCTAAAGGAATTGTAAAATAGTTTATTTTTAACATATATTTGGCTAACAAATGAATAAAAAATGATTTAAGTTCTCGACTTACTTTGTTGCGTATGTGAACACGAATGCGTTGTTGTTGACGGGGTTTAGGGACTCCATTCTCCACCAACCTCAAACTTGGAGTAAGAAAGCGCATCCATAAAAAGTACATTTTTCCTTGGTTGCATTTTTACACAAAGAACTGTATGGATGGGCTAAAATAGCATAACTCCGACTATACTTTCTAGTTTTTTCAAAGTTCCTAAGTAAATTTAAATAAATAAAATTTAAACTATTCCCCATACTTTCGGGAAATAAAAAGGCTCCAAATAATATCATCCTATAATTTCTAGCTTTTATTACTCTTCCTAGCTTGGAGAAATTTTTGTTCAACTCCAGAGTCGCATAATGTTTTTTTAGTTCAGTAAGTAATATACCATGGCCTCTAAAACCACCACCTTCAACCATATCTTTGCCCAACAATTCCTCGAATAGAGATTTGGGCTATTGAACTGACTCGTTAACCGCATTACCTTCAACGGGGAGACCCAATAACATGTACACATCCTCTAGTGTGACAGTACATTCACCTGTTGGTAGATGAAATGTGTGTCTCGGGTCTCCACCTTTCCAACATTGCAAGTATAAAATTTGAATCAATCGTGTAGTTGGAGATTTTTATAACATTTCCAAAACCCGCATATTCGAGATAGGACACGATCAACGGGTCGAGAGCAATGTAGTTGTGTGAGAAAATTCTTAATCTTTTAGTATCCTAAATTCAAAATGTAAAAAGTGTAAGCGACCATAAGATGACTAAATGATTAATAATATTATAAAAAATAAATTAGTATACAAGAATATTTGAGAATTTATAAAAATTTACAAACGCCACAATATTGTCCCTTGTGCCTCTGTGAGAATTGCCTATGGTGAGAAAATCCATAGGTGAAATTGTATAAGACAATGAAAGAGTTTATATCCGAGAATGAGATGATTGTTGATGCAAAACAAGTATATGAGACTCTGTATTTATATGAGAAATTGTATCACATAGTGAATAAAATAGGTGGTTGGTGGTTGCATGCATGCATGATACGTGTTATTCATGTGTCAAGTCAAATGGCGCCTACATGCAATTTAGAGATCATGCGGCATTCAACTTGGCGTGGGACAGGACTAGTTGTAGCAGAAGTGGCAGCCTAGGTGCAGGCTAGTGGGGAAGGCTTTTCTGTATGCATGTAATACGATTGGACATGTAGGGAGGCGCCATTTGACTTGGCGAATGAGTACAAAATTGAAAAGTGTCGCCATCCCAATTGGCGAAATGGAGGTGGCATAGGTTACAGTGTAGGTGTGGGCTAGGTGCAGGCTTGGGGAAGGATTTTCTGCATGCATGTAATATGATTAGACATGTAGGGAGGCGCCATTTGACTTGGAGAATGAGTATAAAATTGAAAGGTGTCGTCATCCCAATTGGAGAATTAGAGGTGGCATAGGTTGCAGTGTAGGTGCAGGCTAGGTGCAGTCTTAGGGAAGACTTTTCTGCATGTATGTAATACGATTGGATATATAGGAAGGCATCATTTGACTTGGAGAATGAGTACAAAATTGAAAGGTGTCGCCATCCCAATTGGAGAATTAGAGGTGGCATAGGTTGCAGTGTAGGTGCAGGCTAGGTGCAGTCTTGGGTAAGGCTTTTCTGCATGCATGTAATACGATTGGACATGTAGGGAGGCAAATTAGTGGTTGCTTACTGTTGTATTATTCAAATTCAGTGCAACCTATTTAATCCTACATGTATCAAAATGCTTCTACACTTAACCACTCAAACACTCGAACATTCAAAAATTCAAACAATCAGACACTCAAATACTCAAACACTTAAACACTTAAACACTTAAACATTTAAACACTCAAACCTTCAAACCTTCAAACATTCAAACACAATGGCCCCTACACCATAATATGTTATCAGTGCATATTTCAACAGTGAGACATACATTTGTCCCACCTTTGGGTTTTTGTGTAGAGACACTGAGAATATCCTATTTTGTTTAAACAGGAAAGCCAATTTCTTGTATTTCAAAAACCGATTTGAAGTCAAACTTGGACGAGGTCCCGTGACACAGATCTTCTATCAAAATCCAGTTTTTTTGATGAGAACCAAATAATATATTATAAGATTGAGGTTCAAGATGATGAGTGTGATACGGTGGGAGAACTGGCTTGGGTGTTTTGCATTTGATCACAAATGTTTCGGTTAGCAAGAGTCGCCACCGACTTTTCTTTTATCCAAAAGGAAAGGTGAAAAAGCACAGGAAAGACCTTTAGAGATGTTTTCTTGAGTTCGGGGGGTAGATTATGAAAAGGGAAGGTATTAACACCCTTTTCATCCATGGTTTTCCATGGGCTCTTAGTTACTTGCTCGATGACTTGCTTTTGTTTGAAAATATGCTTTGTGTGGTTTTTGAAAATATTTTGAAAAGGGCACCATCGTTTAGGCAAACTTTGTAATGATTATTGTTCGTAAGAATGTATACAAAGTGTTAATCTTTTGAAAATGTTTTCAAGTTTGAAATATGTTTTGAAAGTGTTGGTGTTTGTTTTGAAAATAAGCAAGGAGGTTTGATTTGAAAATGAGCAAGAAACTAGGAGTAATCTACCTACTCAAAAGAGTTTCATGTTTATTTACTCTTTCTTTTGACATTGTTAC